GTGCTGCTGCTTTTGCTGTTGCAGCAGCTGCTGCTGTTGTTGTTGCTGCGTCGCTGTTGTCAGGGACAGCTGGGGCTTCCTTGGTGGGTTCAGCGTTAGTGTGGGGTTTCTTGTTGCGTTTCTTGCGACTAAGCAGGAGCAGCTGCTGCCTCGACAGGAGCAACAAAGACTCCTTCAGGCTGCGTTCAGCTTGCAGCACGGGGTGGAGTAGAGGGAACTGCAGGGTTGCAACAGTGAGGATGAGGAGTTGTTTTACTGTGCGTAGTTTCTTTTCCATTGATATCTTGTTATTGCGACTAACGCCAAAGACGAAATGCATCAACAGATCCTCAGCCCTATTGACGTATTTGCTAGAGAAAGCAGCAGCATTGCTCCACCCCTCACGTTTGCATGAGGCCCCCGTGAGGAGGCCCCACACAAATGGCAGCAGGTGATCCGCGAGGCACTCTATGCTGCTGTCTTTGGTTATGAGCAGCAGCAGAGAGGGCCCCTTCAGTGACTGGGCCTCCTCAACCTTCGAGTGCGTGCTAACATCCGCCAGCTTTGCTACAGAAGAACTTGAAAGACCCCCCCCCTCACTCCCGTCCAGCTGCCCAGCCAATCCTCGCCGGCTCTCTTCTTGATCTAGACGATCGGGATCAGCGACTCGGTTTATTTCCTAAACACCGAAACAACACATGCAAACCCCCCATTGCTGCGATTAATAAACCGAGATACGAGATGTCTACTTCATAAGCTGGTGCTGCTGCTGCTGTGTTCCCCTTGCTGCTGCTTGCGCTACGGTTCTCCTTGCTACTGCTGTTGTTCCTGCTGCTGCAGTTGTCAGTGGCAGCTGTTCCGAATTTCACAGCTGCTAGGTGCATCTGCCGGCTGTTGCTTTTGAGTGTATCGACAGCAGCTCGAAACTGCCGCTCATGTTGTGTGGAAATGAAGGCAAAACTTACCTCGGCGATTAGAGGGAGCATCAGCGGGACCGCGGCTTCAAAGCGCTGGACAAACTGGGTACCATCAATACAGGCTGCCTCCTGAGATGCGTATACGGGCTCCGCTGATGCATCTTGCTGCTGCTGTTGCTGCAAGGCATTCAGCATCGCATGCACCGTGAACAGCAGTACGGG